GAGACAGAGACAGAGACGGAGACGGAGACGCAGACGCAGACGGAGACGGAGACGGAGACGGAGACGGAGACGGAGACGAAGACGGAGACGGAGACGGAGACGGAGACGGAGACGGAGACGGAGACGGAGACGGAGACTCAGACGGAGACGGAGACGGAGACGGAGACGGAGACCGAGACAGAGACAGAGACAGAGACAGAGCCAGAGACAGAGAGGTGTGTATATATATATATATAGATGTATATATATATATATATTGGTCTATTGGTTGTTGGCGTGTTGGTTTATTGGCTTATTGGTTAATAGGTTGCATTGAAAAAACCTATGGGACCCCGCATGAGGGGGGTACCCAGAAATACATATATACATATATGTAAATATACATACAGACACTAGATAGAAGAAATGACCTCTTCTGGGAACCGTATTCCGCGCAGAAGCTCCTATATTTCAAGTGCCTTGAATTGGTGCATGGCATATATTAGGGCTACAGCAGATTGCAGCACAGCATCAGGCTGATACGACTGCAGGGTAAGCAAAAGCTGTAATTTTGCAGCTCACAAACTGGCGAGGTTCCATCATTCGGTATATAGAACTGTTTTTTCTGAGAGCATACGGAATGTTTTGTCCATGTATGCTGTCCATATGAGAAGCTATGTGTAGAGTTTGTAACGTGTAGCTCACAGCCTTTTGTGCTCAGGGCCGTGATGATGAGGAACAGAGTGCCCCAATGCCCAGGTAAATGGTTCGGAAACGATCGCATATTGCAGTTTTCTGCTCTACAGTCCCGATTTGCATGGCTTTTGTTGAAACAACAGCAATTGAAGTTCAGACTCTCGTAAATCTCAAACTTTAAATCCTACACCCGTGATAGAGGGACACTTTACCTACTCCGGATCTGAGGCGAGCTGTATCTTTGAGCCGCCCGGCGGTAGACCTTCAGATGTTTCATCCTTGGAGTTTATATCGCTTCAAAAGTTGATAAGGGTTTCTGATGGGATGTTTTGGAATTGAGGTTTGGGGTTTAAAGGGAGTGCAAGGCTTTTGGGCAGGGTCCTTGTTGCAGCTTTGGGCTGCTAGGGCTAAGCGATGTCCGGTCTGGAATATAATGGAACGGTGGTGCTCAGGGTTTGTTTTAGACTCTTGGGGCACTTCCCCTAAGGGTCCATGTACCCAACTAGTATATACATTGGCCCTAAAGTCCCTATATAGGGACTACATTAAGGCCAAAGTATATACTATTTGGGTACATCGACCCATAGGGTTTGGGAAACATTGGAATTTCCCTTGTGGTCTTACCCTAAACCCTAAACCCTAAACCCTAAACCAGAAACCCTAAACCCTAAACCCTTAGCCTCGAGGAGACACCGTATTCATAGGCTGTGTGGCCTTGTGGCTGTGTGCAGGGCCAGGAGCTTTTCTGCCCCACTTGCCGTATTACCGTAACTACCCAGAGACTCCAATATCCCTTAATTAAGGAATATACTTTAAATTATAGTAGGATCCCTAATATGGTTTAAGGTATATTCCTTAATTGGAGTCTCTGGGTAACCCATAAACCTAAGCTTCCCGGCAGAGATAACTCGCTTTGGTCGACTAGAAGGAATAAACGACCTGCAGCGTTTGCCTTACTTTTAACGAAGAAGGGGCATGGGGTGCAAGCCCCGCCACAATCATCGAGTTTCCGAGGCCCAATTCAAGACGAAACCTCGAAACCCTTAGCAACCTGTATAGCACCCTCATAGAATCCTAGTTCCTACGGTTGATGATGTAAATCCTGCATTACCATGATAAGGAATATACCATAATTCCCATAGTTTCGGGCCCTCAAGGTAATGCAGATTTATATCATCAACCGTAGCGCACCCCCCGTTATCAAGCACCATCAGAGACTTACAGGGTCAATCAGCCAGCCCTGGTCTGAGTTTCAGGTCCTAAGCAGGGGAAAGGGGTTCGAAGGGATCAGAATAACCCTAAAAATCCTCTGCGCCCTAAGTCCTACGCCTGAAAGCATGCATACCGGTAGCTCGTGATACCTATGTAATAGCCGTTTTAAGTGCTTCACCCAGTAAGTTGATTTAGGGGTCATACAGTTGCGATGTCGTAAGCTTTAGCTTGCAGGTATTGGCTTTGCCGACCTGCAGGTTTTGGCTTTCTCGACCTGTCATGTCGATTAGTGTTGAAGTTGGACTTCTCAGTGGCAAGGCAACCGCTGTGACAGCAGGCTTGGATGAGAACGTGGAGACATTGAGGCTTCGGGCGCAGACCGCGCTGGGAGTTGGGAAAGGGCGGTTGCTGGATGCATCTGGAAACGTGCTGGATGCACGCCTTCCGATCAAGAATGCCAGAATACAGAAGCTGGGTTCTTGTCAAGGAGCTTAGTCTAAGCCGTTCATAAGGATCTATAGTGAATAACATCGTTTCTAGATTGTGGAACTTAAATAATATATATATATATATATATATATTCCTTAACACGAACCCAGGAACGGCGACTCACTGACCTTGCACATGAATCGAGTTCAAGTACAAGCTTCTTGTGTCGCTCTTGCTGCCATTCTAGGCGACGGATCCGTGATGACGTGGGGTGATGCTGGCTATGGTGGTGACAGCAATGATGTGCAGGATCAGTTGAGGAATGTGCACCAGATCCAAGCTACTCACGAGGCTTTTGCTGCCATTTGTGGCGACGGATCCGTGGTAACCTGGGGGAATCCTTTCTTCGGTGGTGACAGCAGTGCTGTGCAGGCTGCTTTGAAGAATGTGCAGCAGATCGCATCCACTCGATATGCTTTTGCTGCCATTGTTGACGATGGCTCAGTCGTCACCTGGAGCAGTACGGGCGGTCGTGGTTGTGGTGGTGACAGTAGTGCTGTGCAGGATCAGCTAAAGAATGTGCAGCGGATCCAAGCTACTCACTACGCTTTTGCTGCCATTTGCGGCGACGGATCCGTGGTTACCTGGGGTGATGCTGGCCTTGGCGGTTCCAGTCGCGCAGTGCAGGCTCAGCTGAAGAATGTCAAACAGGTTCAGGCCACTGACACTGCTTTCGCTGCTATTCTTCATGATGGCTCAGTTGTGACCTGGGGCGGTGGTGACAGTGATCAGCTGAAGCATGTGCAGCAGATCCAAGCTACTGGCTTCGCTTTTGCTGCCATTCTTGACGATCGGTCCGTCCTGACATGGGGGAATGCTGACCACGGCGGTTCCAGTCGTAATGTGCAGGCTCAGTTGAAAAACGTGCAGCAGATCCAAGCCGGTCTCTACGCTTTTGCTGCCATTCTTGATGATGGCTCAGTTGTGACCTGGGGCAGTGCCGGCAATGGCGGCAACAGTAGTGCTGTTCAGGATCGTCTGAAGCATGTGCAGCAGATCCAAGCCTCCAGTGGCGCCTTTGCAGCCATTCTTGGTGACGGCTCCGTCGTGACGTGGGGGGATGCAGACTGCGGTGGTGACAGTGGTGCTGTGCAGTATCAGCTGAAGAACGTGCAGCAGATCCAAGCCAATCTGTTCGCTTTTGCTTCCATTGCTGCCGATGGAACGGTCGTCACTTGGGGTAAAGCTGACTGCGGAGGTGACAGTAGTGCTGTACAAGGTCGGCTAAAGAATGTGCAGGCGATCCAAGCCACCCGCAATGCTTTTGCCGCCGTTCTTGACGATGGATCCGTCGTGATCTGGGGACATGGCCATATTGGCAGTGAGTACTGTGCGGAGTCACTTGAAGATGGTTCTACCTCCTTGCACGGCTACTTTCAGGAAATGACAATGGATTCCTTGTATCCAGATTTGTGACGATGAGCATGTGCAGCAGATCTAAAACTCCAAACCCCCAAACCCGAACAACTAGAACCGAAGCCCCTGAACCGTAGTGGTTAGTGCCGGGCTTTTGGGTAGCAGTACCGCACTAGATCTGTGCTCTGAAGATACTCAGAGAAATTCCTTATGCATCAACAGGACTTGAGCCCTGAAGTTTCGACAGATACTCGGAATCATCATCCTTACCCTGAACCCTAAACCCTAAACCCCTAAATTTTTGTCAAGGTATTTAGCAACCGAGTGACACTAAACCCTAAATCCTAAACTGAAGCCTAAAGTCAGATGGGGTTGCAAAGAAGGCAGGAAACCCAAAATCCTTCAACTTTTTGCCCGAGAGATCCCGAAAGCTAATTTGGTTCTGGGGTTTAGGGTTTAGGTTTAGGGTTTAGGGGTTTAGGGTTTTTGGTTTAGGGTTTTCTGGACCCTGGGTCACAAAGCCGACCCCTAGAGCCTGCAAACTCTGAGCCGCAAAAGTTTAGAAGGCAGTACAACACTTTAATAAAGGGGCCTTGATGATTATAATACGTTTTTTTTTTGGGGGGGGGGGTCCTTTAAAGGGTTCCTTAAAGGGCTCTATAAGGGCTACTATAAGGGTTTAGGGTTCAGGGGCCTTAAAAATTATAATAGGGTTTTGGGGTTCCTGTAAAGGGTTCCTTAAAAGGCTCTATAAGGGCTACTATAAGGGTTTTGGGCTCAGGGGCCTTAATAATTATAATAGGGTTTTGGGGTGTATAATACAATAATTATAACAAGGACCCCCCCCAAGTAATCTAGGTAATTCCTATTAGGCCCCTACAGTACCACAAAAGCTTAGACCCAGACCATAGTAAAGCACATTTACCACAATGAAACCTTTACCAGAAGGCTTCACGAACCCGGAACCCTAAAGCCGAGCGTCTACATACTACCATCATAGCATCCCCAGAGACTCCAATACCCCTTAATTAAGGAATATACCTCACACCATATTAGGGATCCTACTATAATTTAAGGTATAGTCCTTAATTAACGGATATTGGAGTCTCTGGGTCCTTGTAGATCCCTTAAAGGAACGCGAAGTCCCATAATAGTATGCTTATGGTCCGTACTTCGACCTGAAGTACCGATCCTCGGAGTCCCCGGAAACCCTAAACCTTAAACCCTAAACCCTATATAAACCCTAAACCCTGAACCCTAAACCCTAAACCCTAAACCCTATAAACCCTAAACCCGGTCTATCCTACACAGGTGGACCTGATGAGACCCTTCGGTCAACCCCAAAAAAACCCTATGAGACCCTATGGAACCCCTTCACCAGCAACCCCCAACGAGGTTTAGGGTTTAGGGTTTAGGGGTTTAGGGTTTGGGGTTTGGGGTTCAGGGCTTAGGGTTTAGGGTTTAGGGTTTAGACCCTCTATTACACCTTGGGCTCTATTAAAGGGTACTTGGGGGGGGGGGGGG